AAAACCGTTGTCTTAAACAAATAAAGAACGCGCAATGACAACGGTTATATAAAACCATTGTCGTTGTAGTGTTGTGTATTCGAGTGCGCTTAAAGACAACACACCAACGACAACGGTTAAATAAAACCGTTGTCTTTTTAAAAAAAAACAGCGCACAAAGACAACGGTTTTAAACAACCGTTGTCTTTCTAGTGTTGTGTATTCCAGTGCGCTTAAAGACAACACACCAACGACAACGGTTAAAAAAACTGTTGTCTTTTTTAAAAAAAAAAAACGCACATAGACAACGGTTTTAAAAAAAACCGTTGTCGTTGTGGTGTTGTCTTTTCACAAAATGCACAAAGACAACACACTTACAACAACGGTTAAGTAAAAACCGTTGTCTTTGATAAAAGTGTTGCATTAAAGACAACGGTTTTGGACCAAACTGTTGTCTTTTATACAAAAGACAACACTTTTCTTAAAAACTGTTGTCTTTCTAGTGTTGTCTATGTGCATTTTTCTTGTAGTGTTAATTGAATGTACATGAAATAATCTTAATTTGTATCTTTGCCCAATTTACTATAAAAATAAATTATACCGAAAAAGCAACTGCATACATCTTCCATTCATATGTCAACTTCAATAAGACTCAGCTCCTAACTATTAGAAAAGAGAAAAGAAAAAAATTAATCTTCGTCGAGAGAATTCATTGTTTCTTATCATGCCATCATCAAGATGGGTGTTGCTATTTGCACCACACTTTGACTAAAATGGGGTATAAAGTACATTGAAAATACAAAAATGTGATAGTTTATAATAAATATATAGGTGGTGCAAATAGCCTAATGGGTGGCCAAAATGGTTTCATATTGTCTAAATTAGATAATTGAATTTAAATGTGTTTTCTGACTCTCCAATGAAAAATGAAATTTTGGAATATTTTAGAAAGCTGGAAATGGAAGTAAAAAAAAAATATATATATATATATTAACCATCAAGCTCTTATAGTTTCTTCAAGGGGTGGGTTGGTTCTGCCACAATATTTTTGAGTGCTCATAAATATGGTCCTCACATTCTGAATGAAGTTTTTTTTTTTTTTTTTTTTTTTTTTTTTTTTTTTTTTAGGTCCCTGCCCTAGTGCCCTTATACTCCTTGGAGAAAGCATTATAAGGCCGAGGACAGAAAATGCAATTTCATTTGAAACCAAAGGATCATGTATGCACGCATGAATAGGGGTGATCACGGTTCGGTTTGAACCGGAGAAATAGGGTTCTTGCTGGAAATTAGGAAGTAAATTTCACATTATCACCATTTTTATTTAAATAAAATTACATGTTAGCCGTGTGGAGTGACAACCCGAAGGTAATCTGCAAAAAAATGCTAATCGACAAATTTTTAGAGGTAAGTGTGTCTAATTACTTATGTTTTAGTTGATGGGGGAATTGAGCACTTAGAAGTAATAGATGAGTTTATTTGACACTTGTGCCAAAAAAAAATTTAAGTTGAAATTTGAAAATCCAAAAGTCACTGGCTTAGGCCAGTGGCCTGCTGGCTGCCAATAACCATGCTATTGGCCTACTGGCCAAAACTTAAAAAACAATTATTTTTTTTTAAAAAATTTCGGTTAGAACCAACGGTTCCGAACGGGAACCGGAACCGCGGTCACCCCATGAAACAACTAGAGATGAAAGTTGCTTTTCAACTATTAGTGCAATTCTCTCTATTATATGTGTGTGTCTGTGTCTTTTGTGCATTCTCTCCAACTCAAATTCCAACCACATTGCTCTTTACTAAGTAAATCTTTGTTGTTGTTGTTGTTTTTTTTTTTTTTTTTTTTTTTTTGTTCTTTTGTTCTTTTTTCTCTTGTGCCTTGAAAGAGATTATTGGATTTAAGAAAGGAATGAGCTGTAGTTGCAGCCAATGTTGCATAGCAGGCAAACTTGACTATGGTTTGAGCATCTTTCTGGACTGCTGTTGCCAGGTAATAATCATTTTAACTGCGGTGCTTGGGACACCACTTTTAATGTTGGAAGACATTTTAACTCTAATGTTTTTTGTTAAAAAATCAGGAAGCAGATGATGGTAAGAATTATACTTCAAACTTTGGTTCCTTTCTGTGATCTACCTTGACATTGTAATCGATAGACATATCAAAGCCTCTAATTGATAAGAGTATGGGTAGAAATTGTAAATGAGGGAAGCGATTTGAGAAGTTTTTGGCAAAGGATCGAGTATGAATCTGTGCCGGTGTATTGTGCTAGGTGGAGTGGCGGTGACTGAGGAATGTTCCGGTGGCTGTAGAGGCGGAGCGGTGGTCTGTTGCCGGCGTCTCAGCAGAGAGATGAGTCGGGAAGAGGCAATTTATATCCTACACCACAGCGCGCGTTGCACTGTGCGCCCAGATGCAAAACGACGTCGTTTTATTATTATTATTAAAAAAAACTCGTTGTTCAAAAATGTACATAATGTTATACTAGAATATACATAATTATATACATGAATGTACATAATTATACAACAAAATATACATACTCTTTTAAAAAGATAATACACATAATCTAACATAATACATAATACACATAAACTTTTAACATAATACACATAAACTCTTAACATAATACACACAAATTTTCTGATTCGGATGTACATAATTGTATAAAAAGAATATACATAATTGTATAAAAAATGTACATAACTGTATGAACAAATACACATAATTTGCCACGTACGGAATTGCATGGAGGTGATAACTCTATGTTACGTTGGTGTATTTCGGATATCAAATTTGCGTGCCTGTACATTCGTAAGAGTTGTCCGCTGGGATTGTGTCGGTTTCACTCATATCTTTCACAATCATAATCTAATGTTTTGTTGGATGCATGTCCGAATCGAGACTTGATACAAGTCTAAATTGGAGACTCGATACTCATCTAAATTAGATAGATTTGAGTATGTTGTCGCGTAGTCACCATTATTAGAGTCTTGGGATTTGTGTATTTGTTTTGAGGAATAAACGTTGATTTTATAATTTTTGGGTAGTCAACGGCTATGTAAGAAAAATTATCTTTTCATAAATACTTCAGAGTATATCAATTCAATATTATATAGGAGATGGTAATTGAATGTTGAATTTATTTATTTTAAATATGAAAATTAAAACTATTAACGGAAGATTATAACTATTAACGGAGAATTAAAATTTTTAACAGAAAAAAAAAATTAACAATGCGGAATATTTAAGAGAAAGAAAAAAAAATTCTGAAGGCAAGCATCTGCAAAGGTTGTAATATTACTCTACCCAATAAAAGGAGATTAATGATGGAAGAGAGAGAACCAATAGAGAAAAAGAATTACTAAAATCATTAAAAATGAACATATTATTTGTTATACTGTATGACGGTGGTGTGGCGGTAATAATAATAATTCGAAATGTAGTTTGAAGAGGGAAGAGTGACAGAAAAATAAAGAATCTAGATTCGAACTACAAACTTATAAAGGTATTTTATGCTAAATTAAACATTTTGTTATATTGACCATAACGTATATTTTCGATTTTCTTTTGTTTTGAATACCCAAATGGAAAGCAAGTTAATTTCTAAGTGATTATTCATTAAATAGCATCATAAATCATGACTACAAATTCATTACACAATTATTGAAATAATACATTGAAAAAAATATACCATCATGAATGTCATTTTAAAGATCTCAATGTGACAACTTTAACAATAGAACTTGACAAGTATTGAGCTTACTATTTCTAATATAATAGATAATAGATTAGGTATTATTATTCTCAATGTAACAAAAACTCTTCAAATGGACAATTTATATCGTGAACTAGGATTCACAATGCAGTGTGAACCTTGATTCAATACACATCATTTAACTTCATAACGTACATAATTAATGTTCATAATGTACAGATTTATGTTTATAATATACATACACATAAACACGATATAGTACAGAATTCATGATCATAATCTACAAAATTCATATTTATTATATCATGTGTTATATGTATATGTATTATGAACATAAATTATGTGCACTATGAAGATGAATTCTGTACATTATGAAGTCAAATTATGTATATTGAACCAAGGTCCACGATAAAACAATTGCCCAAAATAAGGGCAAATTACGCTGTGGGCTCGGGTCCACATGACAAGGTGGACCCAAGTCCAAAACGGCGTCGTTTTGCTTCAAAACAATGTCATTTGATTTTTTTAAAAAAATTACTTCATTTCTTGCCAATTGTCTTCAAAATTCGTTCATCTATATTCTCAATTTTTTCAAAGAATTAGTCATTTTTTGAAAAATGTTTTTCAAGTTTCCAAACAGAACTTAAGGGAGTACACTCCTCTATTAGGACTTTAAGTAACATCCGATTTTTTTTTGTTTGTTAGTAACTATATTTTTTAAATCAGTTTTTAGTAAATTCATCAACCAATTAAACCAGTTGAAATCGAAAAAAAAAATATGTAGAGACAAAAATACCCTTACTAAAAGTAAGAAAAGTTATGAGAATGACTAAAATTGTTTAAGAAATAATAGTTTGAGATGTTAAATAACAAAAACGATAATATATGACTAAATTTAAAATTGTCACCAAATACAAAAGACCTCATGAAATTAACTCTTACTTTCAATATGTTAAAAATGTATATTACATTCATAATTTTCACAAGTTATGTGGACCATGATACACAAAATAATTTGCCAGTACCCCGCCCCTTCCTTCTCCCTCTAGAGTCTAGACCTTGATCCATAACCCCTTCCCTCTCTGGACCAAAAAATAAAAAAAAAATTAATTTATTAAAAATAACCTAGCTGGCTCCTCTTCGGCTCTTCACAATTTAGGTTTTTTGGTTGGTGCATTTGATGCTTGAGATGGAAGCCAAGCGAGCAATCAGCACTGGCAGGGCAGATCAGTTTCAGTCGGCTATTCTTCATAGTCACTCTCAATCCAGCCATAACAAGGTAAACGCCTACGAGATGAATCCGATTCTAACCTGGGACAAAAGGGGGTTCAAGTGGCTCTCCTGTAATTGGCTGGCAGGGCAGAGCAGTTGCTTTGAATGCTGGGAGCAAGTCATCAAGTGCCTTTGCATTTTTCCTCCCTTTAGAGCGAGTAAGAACATATTTTTGTATATGTTAATGGTTCTGTGCTTCTGATAACACAAAAAAAAAAAAATGTGGCTTTGTGATTCCATTCTCTATCAGATTTGTGATTCTTACATAGGTCTAATTAAAATATAATATTGATTCGCACTATAATTTTCTGCTGGCATGCAATGCATTTAACTCTTTTCCACCTTTACATATTGCTTGTTGGAGCCATACAGTTGATTTTTAATAAAGTTGCTTGAATTTGCCCATCAGTATGACATTCACTTGGTTTTAGGTTGTAAGGGCTTTAAAATTTTTGCAAGAAGGAAGAGATTCTGCAAACAAATGGGAGGCAGTCACTATTCCTCGTGGTAGGCTTCAGGTCCGTTAATTTGCATCTTTTGAAGCTTTCATGCTCTTTATTCTTATTATCTAAACTGAAATGTGAAATACTGGTTGGAGTATTAAGTATACTTAATTAGTTAACTTGATGATAGTTTAAATCACTCTTCTACCTTAGAGAGTAAACAATCACATTCTTAGGACATTTGGTTCATTTTCAGATTAATATTAAATATTCATTAGGCGTTTTTCAAGTCCTTCCAGGATATTGGATATTGGGGTTTTGCAGAAGCATTGGAAGTTAATAAGTAGTTGAGATGCTTTATAAATGCTTGGTTATAGAATTTCAAATGAAATTCATCTTTTGGAGTTTAGGTCAAACATTTCTTGATATTCTTTTGTATCCAAAGGTCAATGGCATTTGCAATTTGTTTTTTATTCTGTGTCAATGTGACTCTAGATTTATTGTAATACTGCCCCCTCCTGGCTCCCTTGGCCTGTTAATGGTATGATTCATGTTTGTATATTTGTGTTATAGGTGACTTTGTCCATAAAGGATTTGACGAGACCCGCCGGCTTGGTCTTCGAAGTGAAACAGAGTAGGTATTTGGGACTGTTGATTTCAAGTTTCTTTATGCACCTCAAGTTAATAAATTAATCATGTGGCTGTTACTAAACAGTTGGTGCGCAATTCATCTCCACCGGGTGAAACTGGAATGCTTGTTGTTGATTCTGTGGTATGTAATCCTTGGTGTTTTTTAAAAGCATATATCTTGGTTTTTGTTTAGCACTGTTTATTAGAGAATTGGGTTTATTTCAGGTGCCTGGTGGTCCAGCTTATAATCACTTAGAGCTAGGTGATGTGCTTGTTTGCATGAATGTGAAGGTCAGTTTGCACATCTTGTGGGACATGTTACCTTTATGAAAGAATTACATATACGCAATGTGCATGATGGTCATTTCACAGTGCACATTGGTATATTGCTTGCTGCTATTACTTCCATCTACAATCTTGCTTCTGAGCTTTTAATGCAATGCATATTGCATTCAGTTGGTTGTTTAAGTGCACTGGGCTCAGTGTTTTTGTCAGATCAGAACCAGATTTCTTTGTCGTTTGTTGTCTGTCTGTCTTTTAGTGTTTGAATAGGCTTTAATCATATTGCTAGCAGATATTGGAAAACTGTACATTTCCTTGTCTACATATGTTTAGGAGCCATTTCAGGTCTGTCAGATGAAAGTTGAATGTTGCAGGCAAACTATTCTCATGTAGAGCGCAGAACCTGCATTTTATATTTTTATCATATTGAGTCGCATTACATCTAAAGTTGAAATTGTGATAGTGCTTCCAAATGCTTAAGATCAAATTACATGCTATAATTTTTATTTTATAAATATAAAAGTACTCAATCATGTTTATTGGCAGAGAACATCCTTGCTTTCAACACCACACTTTTCCACCTCCTTTTTCCTTAAACATCTAAATGTCTTGTTAAACAACCAGTGTTCTGTGCTGTAACTTAATTATACCAAATCACTGCTGGAATCATAATGGGTTAGAACCCTATCATTGGATATGCTAATCTCAAGCTGTATTTGATAAAACCATCTGCATTAATTGCCTGCCCCAACCCCTGGTGGGTTCATATGTTGTTTTCTAATTTAATTTCTTTGACAGTAAGACATTGCTTGAATAGTTCTGTTTTATCTTGTTAGGTTAGGGTGTTTTTTTTTGCTTAGGTGATTGGATAAGTCTATACACACACACACACACACACATATTTTATATATATATATATATATATATATATATTTATTTATTTATTTATTTATTTATTATGACATTGTTGGAAAAGGTAGGTCATTAATGTTACTTATCATTGTGAATAATTTCTGGCTTTTCCCTCCTTGGTGCAGGCTAGAAATTTCCGTTGTCACTGTGGCCTTGTCTATGTCGCAGAACCACGGTTTATCTTTAACTTCCATACATGTTCATATTTGCTTTCCCTTGAACTGAATTTACTAATTATTACGTACTGGTCTTTAATTTGTTTCAACTTTCAAGTTGAATATCTATCATCCACTTTTGAAGTATTATATATTTTGTTGCTGTAGACAAGTTGATTGTTAATTAGTAAGCAACTTGTTTTCTTGGATTTTTACAAGGGAAAAGCTGTTAATGTGATGGGGTGCGGGGGGAGTGGGGGTATACGAGTGATATTACATCCACTTTTATTTTTCACTTATATATTTGATGGTAATGAAGCGAGTTCACCATAAAACTACTCTTTTAATTGCTGCATGTTTGTTTATGTGATTACTCTTTTCTTTATTTCCTTTGGTATAAAATGTGGACATTTATTTGATTATAAGTTATTTTTTGTAATACTTGTGGTAGTTGAGCTACTCTGCTTTTTATGGAAGTTTTGCTTATGAAAGTTAATTATCATATTATAAATGGTAAAATGGGTTACTAATGTTTTACACAGGCGTATGATATATGTGCGTGAGTCACATGCTGAAAAGATAGGAATGGTTCAAGATGTTCCATATGAGATCGTGAATGTGGTTGATCAATTTTCCAGAATCACTTGCTAATATGACTTGGTGATGAATGTGGTATTCTTGATTTTCTGGCTCTTACTTTGAAGTCTCATGCATGAATATCTTCTGTATAATCTTGCATTTAGACATTATTCCATTAATAAAGTTAGGCCTATAATTAATAGTTCAGCTGATTTTAATTTTTCTTGAGATTTCGACATTTATCCTTGTTTATATTATTTCCCTCCCAAAAAACCTAGCTGACCACGCAGATGTCAATGAATGAAAAGTGAAGGCGAAAAAATCACGAACCATATGATCGCAGTCCACAAGCTGGGCTGACTATCTCTCCTGTAGCCAGAAAGTGAGCCCCTTCCAAAGCTCCGGTGATACTAAAAGACCAGCACGATCCGCAAGAACCCTATAAGCTTCCCCGGTGTCAGAAAACACATACATCTGTATATGGGTTAAAAGAAACAGTACTGAAAGTTGAAAAAGACCTGATTTTTGACGCCGGTGACGGCACCATGGTCGCGCCAGTCGAAGTCGGTGGGCAGATTGTCAGTTGGGAGGATCGGGGCTTTGTTCATGTCGGCGAGGAGCCTGAGTTGATCGTATCATTGGAAGGTTTCAGTTTTCCCCATGTTTATATTGAAAACAGTTGTGCTTTGGATTGTTAATTTGTCCACCATTAATGCGCTCAATTTGTGCACAATTGCTTATTTGTGTGAAAAATCTAAATATTGTGGGTGTGTATTCATTGTCTTGAAGAGATTTATCTGAAATAGAGGCCGAGAAGAAGACCCTTGAAGAGGTTCATGTTTACTCATGATTTTTTAAAAAAGCTTGTTTACTTTTTTGATATGCAAAATCTACCATTGGCTTGATCTTTGTTATTTGCCTTATATCTTGTGATTGCTGCATTACCTTGCAACTTGTTTATAAAAGATTCTTTTTTGCATACAGGAAATAAAAAAATGCTCGTGAGAGAGATAGGAGAAGTCTACTACGAGCTGTAAGGCACACTAAAACTTCTTTACTTCTATAAATATGTGTTTTTTAGCTGTTTTATCTGCACTGGGTAGTTTAGGCTAGTGTTGAATGACACAAGAAAAATGACCGCTCGTGGCTTGGAAACATTAAGAACTAATCACAGCGTGCAACTTCGTGTACAAATTTGATAACACATGTGATTATGTGAAATCTAGCCGTCTTTGGTATCTGAAACAACCTTCCGTATTTATTGCACATCCTTCTTAATAATTGGATTGCAAGATAGATATATAGCATACGTTGTATTTCCAAGATTTAATAATTACAAAGGCATCGATAATCTGGATCCATGGCTCTTCGTTTTTGCTACCTCTTCGTAGTGTTGAGAAGGTAGTCTCCTTTAATGGACTTCTAAACGTCCATTAAATGCTATATATATATCTGCCAGTTATAGTTGCCAAACTACACTTCTTCAACTTTCTGCAATTCACTTCCAGAATGGAAAACTTAGTAGCCATGGCTCCATTATACATTTTGGGTCGTGATATAGCCCCCATGAACACCACAACGTAGGTATGATGTCCCTGAGAGAAGAGGTGCAGCAAGCATCAATGCAAAGAATGTGTATTCCAGGATAATGAGGTATGTGTGTCAACTAAGTGTGATACTTTACAGTTTAGCACATTTTACTTGCAATTTCATGACCTAATGAATGAAATTTAACAGGGGACTATCATTCATGCAAACATTCCGACAGATTTTGTTATTTTGAAGAAAAATATACTGCTATGTTAAAGGTAGGTCACGTGTACTCAATAAGAAATTTCTGGTCATTAGTAACCTCTACACTTACAAGACAAGCCCACACAAATATATGTTGAAGTTCTACTACAAGACAGTGGTTAGAGAGCTAAATGACAATGTTTTGCCAAGGCTGATGTTTCGATTGCAGTCTTTGTCCTATTTGAAACAGAAACTGGATAGAGATGAAAAAGAGTTGATTGGTAAGTTTTCAACTTTGTTTCCTATTTTTTCTTTCTTATTCTGCCTTGGGAATAAGTTTTTAACCTATATTTTATTTGTATAACTATTTAGATGTAATTGGAATGGTATATCTCCACAAGAGAAGGTCATCAATGGGAAATCTGCCAGGCTTATTGACTTTCTACTAGAAGATACACAGTAATATTCACTCTCCTTTTTATGTCTTATATTTTATGATTTACACAGTATTCTAATCAAATCCTCTTAAATCCTTAGGGGTACTCAAATCAAATGCACAGTTTGGGACGATCACGTCTCAAAACTGGAGCCATTCTACCTGTCTACCAAACATGAGCCTCTTATCATTTTACTACAGTTTTGCAGAGTTAAAGTTGTTCTTAACAGTAACAATGACTTTGTAAAATCACTACCAATGTTGTATTCTATTAGCCTAATAATTTTTTACCCAAACAGCTGGTGATATTAAGATTTGCAGCAGCTATGATGTTACCCAGATCTACATCAATAGTGATTTCCCAGAGTTTCAAGAATTTAAAGCGAAGTATGATTTTTCCTAACCTCATCCATTAAACATTTGCACACAGAATTTAAAGAGAGGTATGTCATTTGCAAACTGTGGAGCTGTCAAGAGGTCTTTGCTAGATGAATTCTCTTCTACCCAAAGTTCCAAGAAGTCTAAGTAGGGGCATGTGAATATGGAAAAATTGGACTGAAAATATTTCAGTCCAAATTTGAGTGAGGTTTGTGTGGACAATTGGACACAAAATTTGCTAAGCATAATTTTAAGTGAACAAGTGTTTTTTTGTGGTTTCTGTGAAAATTTAGTGCTTGAGCACCCAAATATCTTAAGACAATTTTTATCTATGTTTAAAAATCTAAGTCTTTCTTTGGCAGGTATCAATACATAGATATCAAGAAGATATATCTTGATATACTTGCACCTAAAGATCAAATGGGACATATGTGCCTGGTCCAAATGTGAATTTAACTTTTATTTTTTTGCAGGTATCAAGACTTAGATATGATGAAGAAATTGTTTTTTTTTATGCGACATGTAACCTTATAAATAAGAAGGATGTAACATTATAGGTAGTATAGTCTAGAATGAAAAATGTAACCTTAGATAGTGTAGTCTAGAATGCAATATGTAACATTATCTACATGCAATCCAAAATTGTCTACTCTAATCAATGTAAATCAGTTTGTTCACATACCTTATTATGGTACAAAACATCAGTTTAAATCTTTTTTACATCCTCCAAATAGTTATGAGAATCAACCTGCAATATCATTGAAGTGAATTGCAAAATAAGAAGGATTTTAAGTCAAAAACTAAGTCCAAAGTATAACAGGCACATACCTTGCCTTTTTTACATCTTAAGCGAATTGCATAATTAGAAGGATTTTAAGTAAAGATACTAGGTCCAAAGTGCTAACAGGCACATACCTTACCTTTTTAAATATAACAAAAACAGTTGATATTGTATTGATCTTTAAAACCACCATAGTGTTTCCCACCTGGCACAGTAGAGAACAACAATGGTTTAAGTATGATGCACATAATGCAAAATAGATTACTTAATATATGATAGTACCTTAAACCATTGTTGCACACTATTTGCATATAGTGAAGTCACTTGAAAAATAATATGATATCAGGTAGTTTAATTAGAAAATTATCCATAAGGCTTATTGGACATTACCCTAGCTAAGACTACGAGCGAGTGATGATGCCATAAGGGCTCAACCCTTGGGTGTTTCCCGTCATTTGGTGGTCTGAATGGCGGACATAGCTAAGAAACGAGCGAGAAGATGATACTATGGTGAATGATCTGTTGTTTCCCGATCCTGAAGGTCAACTCACTCAGATAAGGGCCTAAGGGGATGGGTTGGTAAACATTGCTATGGGTTCAAACGGATATAGGTAATGGGCTATGTTAGAATTAAAAAAAAAAAAAAATTGTTTATTGTTGGGCTGACAGTTATTTTATTTATTTATTTATTTAGATGGCAATTTATATCCTACATCACAGCGCGCATTGCACTGTGCGCCCAGATGCAAAACGACGTCGTTTTAAATTTATTTATTTTTTTAAAATTTTCCGCCTCAGTGAATGACAGTAATTTTTTCTTTAAAAAAAACTCGTTGTTCAAAAATATACATAATGTTATACTAGAATACACATAATTGTATACATGAATGTACATAATTATATAACAAAATATACATACTCTTTTTAAAAGATAATACACATAATCTAACATAATACATAATAAACATAAACTTTTAACATAATACACATCAACACTTAACATAATACACACAAATTTTCTAATTCGGATGTACATAATTGTATAAAAAAATGTACATAACTGTGTGTAGTGATTCTTTGACTTTGCCGCCATTCCTGCTTCTCTTATCTTCCTCACGGATCGGATTTCAGCAGCTGCTTCCGATCTCTTCTAACATTTGGTATCAGGGTCGGTTTTTAAATTTTTGTGGCCCTGTTCGTGTAAATAAATAAGGCCCTGCCAAAATTAAAATTTATAAAACTAATACCGTAATTTTATTATCTAAATATATAACAAAAAAAAATTTATCTGTGCATCGCACGCACACTGCACGGATAATTGGGCAATAATTTATGGTATCAGAGCAAAATATATATATATATATATATATTGCTCTGATACCATGAATTTTGCTCTGATATCACACAATGCACGCGCCATGAAAATGGCAATTTTTTCCAAAGAGAGGAAAAGGTAAGAAATACGCAACAGGTGAAATGGACTAACACGAAAACTCACAAACTCAATGGATAAAATGTAAAAACACATATTTATTTCTGTAAAAAGAAGATGTGTCTCTTATAAAAATACCAACCCCAAAGCTGAAACAAGATCAGATCTACTCCTCTCCGATCCTCTCCGCTTCCAGCTTCGTTCACCGCTCTTGTTAGTTGTTGTGCTTCCTAGCTAGCATACCTTTGGTTCCTCATATCCCTTTGCTGCTTTCTGGGCTAGCTTCTTGATTTTTGAAAGGCGGACACCATCTAACAGTAGCTGTTCTTCATTTTCCCTGCTAAGTTCTGTATTCTTCTCAGATCATCAATAATGCAAACCATCTTCTTTCTCTGATTACCACTTTACAATGATGAACAATTGAGTTCTCCACAGCAACTGTACGTGTTCGGGATTTCCTTTCACTTCGCCATTCCTTCTCTCATCTTCCTCACGGATCGTGTTCGGGATTTCAGCACCTGCTTCCGATCTCTTCTGGTATCTATTTTAATTTCCACTCATTTTTAACAATCCAAATGCTTAATGTGTGTATGTATGTATATATATTGACTTTTTAGTGTAGATTTGAAAAGCAAAAGACAAAAATGGGTAAAAACAAAAAGGTGGATAAAAATATGTAAAGCACTAAGCTGATTACCTTCTTCTCATTAGGATTTTCAAGAAAAAGGTAATCAAGTTACCTCAGTTAACACCGTTGCTGGAATAATAGAGGTACTTACATACTCTATGTGATTTTGTTTTTCGCAACTAATAATAATAATAATAATAATAATAATAATAATAATAATATTATTATTATTATTATTATTATTACCATAGTGTAGTGTATGGCCATACACTACACTATGGTAATAATAATAATAATAATAATAATAATAATAATAATAATAATAATATTATTATTATTATTATTATTATTATTATTATTATTATTATTATTATTATTATTATTATTATTATTATTATTACGTGTATGGTATGTACTCTTGTGTATTATTATTATTATTATTATTATTATTATTATTATTATTATTATTTGTATTATTATTATTATTATTACGTGTTGCATGACACTCTATACGCTAGTGTCATGCAACACGTAATAATAATAATAATAATAATAATAATAATAATAATAATAATAATAATAATAATAATAATAATAATACACAAGAGTACATACCATACACGTAGTAATAATAATAATAATAATAATAATAATAATAATAATAATAATACACAAGAGTACATACCATACACGTAGTAATAATAATAATAATAATAATAATAATAATAATAATAATAATAATAATAATAATAATAATAATAATAATAATAATAATAATAAAAATTAGTACCCTCGGGTGCCCGTCGGAAAGCTCACAGAGGTCAACAATGTAGAAGTCGATTTCCTAATGAAATGGACTTTGGACGTCAACGTCGTTGATGACGATATGCCATCTATGTAATCCGTTGTTCCTTTTGTTAATGTGAATGTCATGAAAAATTACAATATAGTTGCACTAATAATTACACATTTATAATTATGAAGTTCACCGCAATACAAATAATAAAATAAATAAATAAATACATAATAAAAATATTTAAAATACGTTATTATTATCATGCAATCATCGTACTACAAATGACTATTTACAATTTTAAAATCTTTGTTTATGTGATTTTTTTTTTGAAAACTTTATGTTATTAATTAATATTTAATAAAATAAAATTTTCAAAAAATAAATTCAAAATTGCAAGGGTTGGACTTCCATTTGGAAGATTGTGAGTTCAAGCCTCAGTGGAGGTGTTATTGGTTCTTGGTCTTTGTGTTTCAGTAGGTTGAGAAAGTATGTATACTACATGGAGGCGTTATTGGTTCTTGGTCTTTGTGTTTCAGTAGGTTGAGAAAGTATGTATACTACATGGAGGCAAAGAAAGTATGTATACTACATTGTAACAGATCCAATTATTGGTTTTTGAATTAGGAAGAACACACTGAACACCCCAACCCTAAGGGCCCGCCCGCCCGACAGAGCATTTGGGAGGGTATAAATCATAGTGACTCAACTGAACATGAACCATAGAGGCTAGACCAGTGCTCACTGCGCACAAGGCCCTCACTTTGAGAGGTTGCTCCCACACTGCCGCTAGTGAGACTTGATCCCTGGTCATTCTTCCAAAGTTTCACCTTTATGACCAATCAAACAAATTAATGGTGTTTGCAATTCTAAATAATTAATATATTATTAAAGAAGGCAATAGTTAACTTTTTTAATTAAACAAAGTGAAAAGAAGGCAAAGTAATTCCCTTCTTTTGTAACACTTTGTCGTCCAAAGCAAGAAGAATAAAAGAAGCTATTGCCATTACCTTCTTTTCAAATAGGATTTTGAAAAGAAGGTAATGGCATTGATACTTTACATATTTTAATTTAGGGTTTTTAATTAACACATTTTTGTCCAAGTTATATCAAAAGTGTACATTCTTAGCTATGAGGTTAATTTATTAATAATTACTTTGATTTCCTAGGTTGTATGAATGTGATATTGTGGACCCCAACCCTAGTCCCTACCCTACATAAAATCTCATATTCTCCTACTGGTACACTAACTATCTTTTGTGTAAGCTAGGTTGTAATTGGGTACACACAATATTAAAAGATAAGTAAAATGAAAAATTGAAAGAAAATACAAATGTATGGATGGGGTGGTGTGTAGTGTTGTAAAGAATAAAAATGTTATGTGACAGCAGTCGTTGTTAGATGTCCCTTTCTCTAGCTATATATTTATGGGAATTGTGGACTTAGAGTCAAAGGGGACCACTTTCCGGATATGTATGTTACTTTGTTTTTAATTGGAAAATCAATAATACACCATTGACCACCCATTTCTGTACTAGATAGATAGTATGACTCTGTGGGCCCTACCCTACATCCATGCATGCCATTCTCTCTCATCATAAAATCCAAATATTAAGCTATTTAGGTCCATTTATAACAACTCAA